TATGTAAACACGTTATTTGTAAAACGCATCAAACTTATCCACACATTTCCTTTGAAATAATATATTTGATGTCTCTATATTTTCAAAGAAGATGAAAGAGACGACGAAGCGCTTTCATGTTTAATTAAGTTGGACTACATTGGTCTTGTATTTTGTCTTGAGTTGGATAAGCGACCTTTTTAAGTAACTTTTATGTTACTACCTGTCGCTTGCGATTCCGTCCGCGCGGTATTAAGATAAACTTAATTAGTAGCTTGTTTTCTTCCAGACTTTGTTTTCTTCTTTCTTGTTTTCTTCTAGGTCTATGCTAAATTTCAGAAATACCTATAACCAAATAAACATTCAACTTTCGCATTTATAATATTAGTAAAAAGTAAAATTTGTTGATATTTTAAGATACATCTGTGTAGTAGATTACTCAGATTTTGTTACTTTTTACTAATATTATAAATGCGAATGTTTGAATGGGTGGATGATAGTTTGAAGGTGTATTCAGAAAGGCTGAACGAATTCTGCTGAAATTTGGCATAGATGTAGAAAATAACCTGGAAGAACAGATAGGCTAATTAAGCGTTTTTTATTACGCGCAGACGAAGTCGCGGGCGACAGCTATTTTGTCATATACCTTTTAATATATTGAGCTTGTGTTTTCGACATATTAATCCAGTGATGTTTTGTGCCAAAATATATATTTATTATTTATTTAAAAAGGAACATTTAATTTCAGTAAATAATTATTATTTTATACAAGATGTCCCGTTAAATTATTCAAACTTTCGTGAGACATTATACTAAACTGATATAAAAACGGCTAAACACTCACGTATATTCGTCCGGTGGCGGCACCGACTAGTTTTGAACCCATCGGGTGCCCTTCATCAGGATGAGTAGTAATACCAGTACGCCACCGGACGAATATACGTGAGCGTTTAGTCGTTTTTATATCAGTTTAGGATGTCCCGTATTGACTGAATTCTGAAAATCTTTTAAATATCGTTATGATATTATATATTTTAATTATTGCTTTATTAGTATTCTATTATAAAGCAGTAATAAATATATATGTATTGCTTTATGTTGTTTTGTTTCTAAATTAATGTAAAAAATAGTTTTTGTTTATATATCTAAGTGTATGTTTTAGTTTAACGTGTAAGAGAAAAGAAGACATATAATTTAAATAAATATAAAAGTTAAAAAATGTCTATTAAATATCATTTCATCATCATCAGCTCACTATATGTCCCCACTGAGGGGCTCGGAGTCTACCCTAAGTTAAGGGTGATTAGGCCATAGTCAACCACGCTGGCCAAGTGCGGGTTGACTTCACACATATCTTTGAATTTCTTCTCAGATATGTGACCGTAACAACGTCGAACAAATGTACATATGTAAATCGGAAATGGAAAAACACATTGGTCCATGGCGGTATTCGAACCCAGAACCTGCAGATTGCAAGTCAAGTGCTTGACCCCTGAGCCACCGACGCTCATATTTTCAATTTCATTTGCATTGTTAATAAAATAAAACTATAAATAAATGTTATAATACTTTATTTTTACTCACGATTCAAATTTAATTTACTTCATAATACTAGTAAACACACGGGGAAATTATTTTTCTAAATTATCTGCCGTACTCAGAGTCGTTTGTCACTTAGTAGCTTAGTGTAGTTTTCTCGTAATGATTTTTTTAATTAATGCATGAAATATGAAACAGGTGAGATGAAGATTTATTTTATGCATATATGAGACATATTTAGGTCTATTTTTCGTCAAAAAAAAGAGAAAAATCGTATTTTTTTTAGAGCAAAGAAATACTGTATTTTGGAAAAAAGTTTCAGTAATAATTTTATATAAAAAAAATATTGTTTACTAAAAAAAAAACAAAATGAAGAAACAATCTGAGTATGGCAGTTAACTTATTTCATTTAAGATAAAAGACAAATATTCTATAATAGGAATGTTTTAAGTTTTTTTTTAATTTTTAATAGCATTATAAAGGTTAACTGAACAGTCAGACAGTAAAAGGTTTGTTAAGTTTAATTTCTTGCGCATTATAAGCAATTTCTCTAAAAGCAAAACATGTTTAAAATCATTATCTCCTTGAGTTTAGAAAAGATATTTGTATGTTTTTCTGTTTGTAATTTTTTTTCTTTTTTTTTCTTAACATACTAAAGTGTTTTGAATTTTTTTAATTTATAAAACTACAAGCTTTTAACATTAAAGAAAAAAATATTATACATAAGTTAAATTTATTTAAGTTTTAACCTACAATGTATTTGAAGCGATAATATTCATATATAAAAGTAAATTAACCAAATTTACAAGAAAAAATGGTTAATAAAAGATATATTTACAGCTTTATTAATATAAAAATTGTAAAATTTAAGACAAAACTAGTACAATATTTGATTAAAATCTACTTGAAACATTTACTATAATTTAAGAACAGTTTGTAAAGTTAAAAATCCCCTGTCATTTGACAGATAAGGGGGCGTCCATAAATTACGTGAGGTGTTTAAGGTGGGGAGGGGGGGGTCGAGTCAAATCTCATCTAATCTTACGTTGGAGAGAGCGGTCTCGGCAAATATCACGTAATTTTTTTTCTGATTGAAACAAAAAAAAAGCAAAAGCACAAAGCATTTTTTTTTCTTTTTACAATGACAATCCAACGCGTTTACTTAAGAAACTCACATTTTGAAAAATCTCCCGTGAGATTGGAGGATGAGGTTGTAAAAAATCTCACGACATCTCACCAGGGGGGAAGGGAGGGACAGAAAATTAAAAAAACACCTCACGTAATTTGTGGACGCTCCCTAAACTGTCTCTGTCGTGTAAAAGAGAATAAAAGGGACAATATTAACTAACTGCAGTAGATTTCTACTGCTAATACGTTCTACTTTAAATGTATTTTAACTTATAATATTTGACATTTTTCCTTAATAGTGAAATTAAGCTTCGACGGAGGAACAGAAATATATTTCCCATTCCCTCTAACTATCTGCCGAATACATTGAAGATGAGTTTTGGCTTTTATCAAGTGGATTAATTTAATTAATTCTATAGACGACATTAGTGATGATCTTGAGGAGTGACTCCTTGGCGTTGGTGGGCTGACGGAAGAGCTGCGCGTGCTGGTACCTGTTGTCTCCGGAGCCGCCGGTCAGCTCGCAACTCACCACCACCTTCTTGAACTCCCGCTTGAACTTTATTGGACCCTCTAAAGTACACGGAATACTACCTTATTGATACGGTGGGTGGAAATCTAGAGTACGGTAGCACAGTAGCGACACTTTATATAAAAATATGTTAAATTATCTATAAAATTTCTATTTACATATCGTCTTCTTTGTCATTTTTCCTTGATAAAACAGAGATAACAATATTTTTGAACTTGGTCTCAGAAACCAACTATTAGTGGGTATTAGTAAAAATAAATTACTTAACTAGCTCATTGGCGCCCTCTATACAAAAGTTTTAGATCATTTTGGACTGTCAACTGTCTTGTCAATCTATACTTTAGAACTTGTTATAACAATTTAAGGACCTTCATAATTCAATCGTGATAAGTCTTCAAAGAGATATCCCGTTATCTTATATATAAAATTGTCGTGTCATAATGTTAGTTCCCATACTCCTCCGAAACGGCTTGACCGATTCTCATGAAATTTTGTGAGCATATTGAGTAGCTCTGAGAATCGGCCAACATCTATTTCTAATCCCGCGCGAACGGAGTCGCGGGCGACAGCTAGTAATATATAGAATTCAATAGGAATCTAGTAATTTGGTGTGAACTATATGGTCTGTGTGTACTGACCGAGCTTGATGTCCTGCGCAGGCTCGCTGTCGAACTGCACGGAGCAGCGCACGCACCCGTCCTCGAAGGTGGTAGCGCACACCACCAGCACCAGGTCCTTCAACACCAGGTCATCGTACTCCACCTCCAGCTTCCACGATATCTGCCCTTTCTCCTCGCGCTCTGACAAACCATGTGCCTTCTCACTCAGTAAACAATATTTAACTAAAACGAAAATCAGCGCCAACTTTCGGATTTTTCAAAATTAAAACATTTTCAAATGCTACGTTAATATACAAAATTATAGAAATCAGTCGTATCATAAGTTTCATAATAATTTTTAATTAACAATCAAAGTGAAAGTTGCCCATAGATATCTGCAATAAAAGGTCAATGGACAGAGGAGGGCGATGTATAGAACGAGGACATTTCTCCTCGCTATACATTCCCTCCCCTATCAAACCCGTCTGCCCATACCTTCCTTTTCAGAACATACCATTCCTCGCCAAATAGACTTGCTTCCAGTCTTTTTCCACTTTCCTGAAGATGTACTCGCTCTTGTAGGCACCCTCGAGGAAGGAGTCGATGACGTTCTCCTTTTTGCCGTCGCAGAAGACGCGATACTCGTCCTTGGCGGCGCAGTACTGGATGTTGTAGGCGCCGGGCTTCACGAAGTGGAACGTGTGGCTGTGGCTGCTCACCTCGCCGCGGTCCTCGCGCCACTCCAGCGCGCCTGACATGCGACCCTTCTTCTCGTAATCACTCGGTTCTCTACCACGTTCACAAAATATCAAACATTTAAATATTTAAACTTTAAAAATCACTGCAAGTTGACTAAATCGGGAGCAAAACAGCTAGAAAATACATAAATACTGAAGAGTAACTCTGGTCATTATGCGAAATATAATTTTTTAAGTAATATCTGGTCGGTCAATACAAACTTTTCCTGCATGAGCAGAACGAGCTCTTTAACGGTGCGCTTGGCGAGGAAGTCCCGGCGCGCGGACGACACCTGCGCCTGGCGAGCAGCACGCAGCGTCATCATGCACCACACCAAGTCGGACTCCGCGCACAGCGTGCGTCGGTACTTCACCTGCACACAACACAACTCACACTCAACAACACAACTCACACTCAACAACACAACTCACACTCAACAACACAACTCACACTCAACAACACAACTCACACTCAACAACACAACTCACACTCAACAACACAACTCACATTCAACAACACAACTCACACTCACCAATTATGCTAAACTAGCTGTCGCCTGCAACTCCGTTCGCACGGAATGAAAAGAATACTTAATTAGTGGCATATGTGTCTTCCAGACTGTGCTCCACATCTATGCCAAATTTCAGTGAGATTCTGAGATTCTGGAGAAACCTATCAGACATCCATCCATCCATGCAAACATACACATTTATATTAATAAAATATAGCAGCAAGCAATAAGATCGAATGATGTTATACAACACACAATTGTATACATTTTGTGACCTCTAATTGTTTTGATAACCAGAGACAAGAATATGTTTGGAGTGCGTTGTGTCGCATACCTGCTTGTGCTTGACAGTGTACCGCCAGGTGACGTCCTGCACGTCGTCTCGCGACACGGCGATCACGTAGGCGAGGCGAGTGCCCCACCCGCAGCTGTACACCAGCGGCGCGTCCACCATGCCCTCGCAGGGGTCCACGTGCAGCCACTCCCCAGACTCCAAGTTAAAGATCTTCACACGTAACAATCACACACGTTATTTCCGTAGTAGGGAGAGAGGGTTAAGTGAAACCGTTGAAAGATTTATCTCTCACCTCGACCCAGACATGGTCGTTTGTGTCAAAGACGTGTCGTGTGTCATATCCGAGCGCGCGGCAGAGTAGCGCGAAGCAGTTGGCCCACTCCCCGCAGCGGCCGCGGCGCGTGCGCAGTAAGTTGCGCACGTCGTTGTACCGCGGGAACAGCGTGTCGCGCTCGCATTTTTTACATTTAAACACCTAAAATTGTCGTTCCCATGTGAATGTTATGTATAAAATTAATAAAATAGGAAAGTCTGTTTGTAATATCGAAAAAAAATCCACGTTCGCCAGCGTGATATATTTTTTTAACGTAAATTTATATCTTTGTAAGGCCGCGTTTGTTCCGGATAATCTCCGGAACGGCTGGACCAACTTTGACGGAACTTTCATTGGAAACTAGTGGATGTTCACGAGAATGTTATATGTAGGTGTTATTGTAAAAATTAAGTATTTACCTCGACGGTACACAGCTCTTTTTCCATAGTCCTCTGTTCGACAGTGGCGATGCCAGTTTCTCCTCCACAGAAGTCGCAATCGGGCTTGTCTATCCACTCAAAGAATTCATTCTTGAACCAGCCCATCAGTTCGAATAGAAGAGCTAATTCAAACGACAAATCGTCGCCTTTCACCTCACCTAGTAAATAAAAATTCATATTATAACTGTAGCTTTTGTCTGCAGTGACTCTTGTACTATATACATATACCTATCTCTGTTTTGACAAAGAGAATGAATGGGATGACAATACAGATTCGGATAAATTATTAACTAACAGTGGGTAAACATCTATTGCCATGGACCAGGTCGCGTGATGCAATACTAAGACTACACAAAAGATAGGCGTCAAGTGGAATTCCATGTTTCATCTGATGAGTGTGCAGCCTAGTGGCCTAAAGTCTGGTTACCCTTTTCTGAAAAGGAAAACATGGGAAGGGAAGTTGATTTGATGGATGGGATTCATAGGAAGGTGGAATATTCTCTTCTCTGCGTCTTCTCCTCAGTCCATTACATAGACAACACATCTGCAATTGCGGATATGCAATATTGCAATTTCAACAAACCTTATAATATGATAAAAAAGATGATAATTAGTTTATTTATTTTATCTTACCCATTTTTAACTTCCTCTGATGCTCTCTCACTCTCTCTATTGCCTTCAGTTCCAAAGAGACAAGAGGTATGACCTCTCTAGCCTTCTCTTGCATATCATCTTTCTCGTACATTAATACATTGTTGAAAAGCATCTCTATTCTGTTAAATAATGGAACTGCGGTTTCCTGAAACATTTTAATAACACAAGGTTATTTTTTAATTACGCAGAAAAAACTTTTTTTTTATATCATAAGGTGGCAAATGAGCGAGCGGCCATGTGAAATCGCTGAAATAGCGAAGTGACCGATGCCCATAGACATACGCAATTGCATATGCGTTGCCTACCTTTAATCGACGGAGGAGAGGATGCACAGAAAGAAAATATTTTCCCTTCCCATGCATCCTCTCATCTGGAAAGTCTACTTCCACTTCCATCCTTTCCTTATAAGAAAAAGGATAGGAAGGGAAAGAGGACTAAATTAGGCCTCCGGGACGCATGGCATTACTTATTGCTAATATTTATGAAATAAAAAATTTAAAACTAGCATTGATAATCATAAAACCAATCTATGTACTTATTAGTTAATTGAAGTAAATATACTAGTGTGTGTGCCCCCACACACAAAGATAGTATTTATAACAATAGTTACCACCTTGGTCTATTCATAAAAACTATTAGAAATAAACAAATTTTTGAAGATAAAAAAATCAAAAGTAGGCACACCTTAACTTACCAAATAAACTGGCTTCAGGTATGGTTCATTGTTTTTAATGTAACATGGAGGCCTTTGTATATCCAATTGTTGCTTGGAACCGCAGCAGATTGATATCTTTCTCTTAAGAGCCACCTGAGCAAATCTCAATTTACCCAAACTTTGCTCCCTTGGATATATATAATCATTATTTTCCTTAAAATATACAATAAGATATCAAATATTTTATGGTAGTGAGCTCAGTGGGGAAGATAATGTTATCACCTTAACTATATGTCCCTACTTAGGAACTTGGAGCCTACCCTAAGTTAGGAGTGGCAAAGCCTTATTAAACCATGTTGGCCCAGTGCAGGTTGACTTCACACATATCTTTAAACTTCTTCACATATATGTGCAGGTTGCATTACGGTGTTTTCCTTTACCAAAAGATTGTCGAATATCAATCGACTTTATATAGCTCACATAAATTATATTGAGTAAAGATAACATAGGATGTTTTAATATTTATATTAAGCAACTTACACGTTTAAATCCCACATATTTTAGATATTCACAGAAAACTTCGTGTTCCATAGCTTTCTTCAATGATGAACTTTTTAATATTCGTTGCTCCAAGTCATGGGGATTTTCTAAAATTTTTTCAATATGTTGCAAAAGTTCATTAAGAACTTTATTAAATGTATCGATGTCATTCATTGTTTGTTCGATCACAGCTATACGCGCAACGTCCTCCATTTTCCAAGTATTTAATTTGACAATACTTTTATTGCTTTTATGGAATAATATTTATTTCTAATTGAACATAATATCAATAATAAACCATTGCGATCTGTTATCAAGTTATGTGTCAAAATTTTGATAACTCATTCCTGTCATTGGATGGATGTTACGTTCTGAAACCCATTAACCTTATAAAATTATAAAATACAACTTGATGATCGGTCAAGAATACTTTCAAATTCATAGTATCCGTACACAAATAATGGAAAATATGTTTATTTTGTGTTTACGCTAATTTTAAGGAGATCAAAAAGATTTTTTTCCGTTGCCATAGTAGCGTAAAGTATGTAAACAAAGTGTATATAAATAAATACATTTTAAACGCAAAGTTCGTACATTTTATTTGTAAAACATAATGGTATTTATAATTATGAATTCTTTATCCAATATGTACACTTATTTATATCCGATTTGAAATTATTAACGTGTGATATAGTTAAATATTACGGACATATTTAGATTCCTGTTTAATGTAATAATTACTTTGTAGACACAGGTGTGCAATTCTCGGAACTGGCTGCTGCACGCCAGATATGTTAGAGGAGAACATGCAATGTGCTTGGAATTATCAGACGAATTACAAAATAAAAATTATAACAGGCATATCTATGCGCATTTCATAAAGGTATTACTCGTTCCATGGCTTTCTTATACCGTCTAATCGTGTTTTAAAAATAAACTAATTGGCCACACATTTTTTATTACCTTAGGGTTTAGTATTAGCCGAGGCTGGTCGTCTGCAGGAAGCTTTGGAGCGATTTCACAGCTGTATCAAATTATATTCACAAGATCCTGAACCCCTTAAACAAGTAGCTAGATGTTTGTAAGTTTTTAATGTTTTAATAGCCGTAAAATATCCACTAAAAAAACTTTAGTTGTCCTTATGTTGTATATAGAAAGTTAAGTTTAAATTTCATTTCAGATATCGTCAAGATCGATTCCAGTTATCTTATGAAGCTTATCTCGAAGCTGACAAATGTGCGAAACATCCCGATGCCGAAATTTACTGTGGCTTAGGTAATAGAAATCTTTTCATAGAGCATAGAACTGGGTTGTTGAATCTGGCTTTAATATAATATTTTGCTTTTGTTTCACCAGAAAAACTACGGAAGTATAAAAAGGCGATTTTGTATTTATCAGCTGAATGTTCGTGGAAGGTTGGGGAGGCGGTGCGTGGGGTGGAATGGGCGAGGGCGGGGGTACAGGCCGGTGGAGGGGAGCGCGCGGGGGCGCTACTGGCGCGCCTGCTGCTCGCCTGCGATCAACTGGAGCCAGCACTGCAGGCCTACGATCAAACTATAGCGTTAGTTATCTTTGTTAAATTTGTAATACTAAGCTACAGGAGAAAATCTCAAAGATTTTTGTGGAGAAAGGCCGAGGGAAAACTTTTTATCTGTTTATTTAATTACAAGATTATTACGCATTTGCCCACAATTAAAATAAATAAGTTTTATTTCATACTATAAAAGTTAAAAAAAAATAAAATAAAGAAAATTTTTATACTTTGGGTAAAAATAATTGAAAAACAAAACAAAATAAAAAAGCCATTTAATAGATTTGAAAATATGAATATTAAAAAATACAAAAAGATTTGCCGCCCGAACAGGGACTTGAACCCTGGACCCTTGGATTAAAAGTCCAATGCTCTACCGACTGAGCTATCCGGGCTGTGGAGTATGTGCTTTAATATGCGTATTATTTCGAAATAAATCAATAAAAAGAGTAACAAAAACATATGTTTGGTATATCATACTAATTTTCTATATTTACAATAAAAACTAATGTGAACTATAATTTCCGATTGTATTTGATCTCGATTTAAATTAAAATGAAAAATAATTACTTTTTAATGTTTTTATTACGTTAACATCTGATCTGATTATTTAATGAGTTTCGATACGACAATCTGAAACAAAGATTTGTTCTAGGTTGTTTTGTTATTCAACCAATGCAATTTACAGTACAGATTAGTTTTTCAACAAATAAGAAATAATTCTCCGATAGATCGGTTTAGCTTTATGTGTACTACATAGGTGGCCTGTCTGTATTTTTATTTAATAAAATAAGGTGGCAAATGAGAAAGCGGCCGCCAAAATTCGTCGAATTAGTGAAGTGACCATAGACATTCGCCTTTGCAGATGTGATGCTTTGCCTACCTTTAACCGAAAGAGGTCGTGACGCTCAGAAAAGGATGTTCCCCTCCTAATAAGGATGTCCTAGGCCTCTCTTCCTCCACCAAACCCAATTCTGATCCATTTAAAGAAAAGGGAAAGGGAAGAGGACTAAAATTATGAATTTAGTGCGACCGCTTGCGGCGCGGACACGCTAGCAGCGGCGGGCGCGCTACGGTTGCGCGCCGGAGACCCACGCGGGGCCTTTCAGCTGCTGGGCGCGGCGCTAGCCCAGCGACCCGGCCAGCACGCAGCCGCTCTCGCCCTGGCCGCCATGCTGCTCCAGCACGGGGACTCGTCCGCGGCGCTCGCTCGTCTCAAGGCAGCCCTCAACACACATCCCACATGCGTCGCTGCTCATTCCAATCTGGGCCTAGCTCTGATCACTAGGAAGAAGTATATTGCGGTGAGTATGAAATTAAATTAAGTAGACAAAGTTAAGTCGAGAGTAAATAAAAATAGTAATAATCACTAATTACGATTTTTATGCGTATCAAGTCTATGCAAAGGTTATTCGTAAGGTTTGAAGGTATTTTATGGTTTGATATGTGGATGAAAGACATTTTTAGGTGTGTTAGGTCTCCTAGTACGCCTACAGTCTAATTACGTGCGTTAGGGTCTGACGTGCCTGCAGCGGGCAGTGCAATGGGCGCCACTGAGTGCGAGGGCAGCGCACAATCTGGCGCTGGCCCTGCTCACCTGCCGCCGGCCCGCATCCGCCTTTTGCCGACTGGCCAGCGCCACCGCACTGCAACCGGAACATCCTCACACGGTACACAACAATACCTACCAAAAGATATAACGTCGTCAGGACATATGGGAGTTTATTAACGGCTAGACTTCTCTAAATTAAAAGTGACTAGGTAATCAACCAAAATGGCCTAGTGCGGATTAGTTGTATTAGATGTTATATGTACACGTGCATCACGATGTTTTATTGTAAAACATTGAATACATATTGATGTTTTTTATCTTGTATTGGCAGGTTCTCCTCCTAGCTATAGCGCTAGAACGGTTGGGTGACAGTCGTGCTGACGCGGCGTACGGGCGGGCGCTCAGTCTGGCGCCGCACGACGCCCTCGTCAGCGTCAACGTGGCCGCGAGACATGGCAGGGCCGGCCGGCTGCAGCTCGCCCTCGAAGAAGCGAACAATACAGTACAACTGCTGCAGGACGACAACAAAGCTGATGCTCACGTTAGTACAGTCAACTGTAAACAATGCAATTATTACATGCGTTGCGTTTTCACTAGTATCTTATGTTATCATTTTAAATGTAAGAAGTCCGATTATCTTTACAGCTTGCAAGTTCTTTATCAGTTGTGATGAATCTACTCCAAGAAGCCGGGGCGCAGTCTGTTATACCAGATGGAGCTGAGCTTAACAGACCAGTAGACCGAAAAGACCGTGCTGATGCTATCAATGATAACTTCGCTCCTGATGAAGTTTAATCAGTAGGTCTAAATTTAGAACATATGGTAGTCATAGAACAATCATGTTTAATAACTTTTATGTTTTTTATAACCTCAGTGGCTCAAAGACTCTTCATGAAATTTGCCACAGATGTAGAACATAGTCTGGAAGTACACATAGACTACTTATTAAGTTTTTTTCTAATTACGCGCGTACAACTCGTAGGTAAAAAGGTATTTTGTTTTAAAAAGTTTATTAATGGTCATCCGAGTGAAGCCGGGATGCTAGCCTAGGGTATAATTATTGTTAGTTGAAAATACAAAAATAGTTCAACTTATTCTTCAACTAATTATTCTTTATTTTTTATAGTTTCAATTGAAGCGATAAAAATGTAAATATGTTGAAGTACATAAACCGTACATGTATACTTCAGTAAAATAAATATTTCAATTACATAATGCAAGTATATAGCAATAAAATAAATAATAAAATGTTTCATAAACATACACTTTCCAGAATTGCTAAATATGATTCTTTTGCAACTGGTGTTTGCGGTTTTCGTAAATATTGTAAGTCAAAAAATATATATATTTACAATCGAAACTCCATTAGTTAGAAACCCGGGTTCAAAACATACCTGTAACTGTGGGTTTCTGAAACCAAAATATACACAAAAAATATATTTAACCCTGTCATTATCACAATATAACGGATATATACACACAGATAATAATATAACGGATGGTATGGTCTCAGAAACGTACAGTAAAAGCGATAAAAATGCCACGGTCCTTTACACTCTCGATTATCTAAGCTCGACCGTATTTACTCAGTTTGTCATATCAAAACATTTAAAAGCAGTTTAAAATAAGTTTTTGTATGGATATCGTCGACAATGGAAATTAAGTGAGGTAACATCGCTCGTGTTATGTCGTTTTTCTTTCTCCTATACCTTAAAAAATAATACTAGAATTGGTTGACTACTACAATTCCTAAATGTCAAGAATTAGTAACCACTGTTCACTCCCTTTGGGTAGAAATGTAATATTTTTCGCAAATAGATATGATTTTAGTCCATTTAATTGCAATATAAACTAATATTTATGAAATGTGATGAACGGTTCAAATATTTATGAGTACCAACCTGTACTGTATAAATGTCAACAGTACAGGGTCGGACTTATTTATTTTTTAAATAAATAAAATTTATTAATTTATATAACATTTCTTAATTTTTTTTAGATGGAATGTAAGGAGAGGAGAGCTGGTTTAGTGGTTCTACCGCCATTAATTATAGGTTACGATGAGTTTAACATAGAGGAAACTGAAGAAGACGAGATTACTAATATAATGGAGAATGCTGAAGAAGATCTGAGTAATTCGGAAGGTGTACCACCTGCACGCAGGAAAGTATTCGATGAAGACGATTCGAATAAGTTGTATGCAAATTATAATTCACACTACGGAAAAATAAATAGAATGAATTGAAATCGTTAGCTTTTGTAACTTTATATTACTAAAATCTATTGGTTGATATCGTAGCTTTGATAAAATACATTATTCAGTATAATCTGTTACTAATATTTATGTATGCAAAAGTTTAGATGTATCAATGGATGGAACAGCTCAACGGACCTTTATGAATGCCACTAATATAGTCTGGACTAACATAGTCTGGAAGAACACGAACTTATTACATTTTTTTAATGTAAATGCCGCCATTTAATTACCATACTTCGATACTAAACCGCTATTTACTAAGACAACGCTAGTTAGGAACGTATTGAAACATAATAAAACACAAACATGATATCACATCTTTATTGTTAAATTACAGTACTTATTTTCCCTCTACCTCGTTCTTTTACATGTTTGATATCCTTGCACACATTGTAGCCTGTACCTGATACCTTGAATCGTATCCTTAGTACGAGAAATGTACAGTCCTCTTTGACTAATTAAGAACTCTAGGTGCGGTAGTAAGTTGTACAGAAATCTTTTAATATACAGTAACAATATAATGCTGGTCGATATTTAAATACCTAAGGTAACACTTGACCAGTAAAAATTGGCCAATCTTTATATATAAGTGCAAAACTGAAACAATCATTGGAAATCTGCGGACAGTTACTATCAAAATTACTTCCTTTGCCAACGAGTAAACCTGAAACAATAGAATACTTTAGTCTTCCAGTTTTGATATTGATTCATTCATCATCAGCTCACTATACGTCCCCACCGAGGGGCTCGGAGCCTACCCTAAGTTAAGGATGATTAGGCCATAGTCAACCACGCTGGCCAAGTGCGGGTTGACTTCACACATATCTTTTGAATTTCTTCTCAGATATGTGAAGGTTGCATCACGATGTTTTCCTTCACTGTAAGAACGTCGGATAAATGTACATATGTAAATCGGAAATGGAAAAACACATTGGTACATGTCGGGATTCGAACCCAGGACCTGCAGATTGCAAGTCAAGTGCTTGACCACTGAGCCACCGACGCTCTCCAATAGTTTTGATAATTATCAATTAAATTCTGTGAAATAAACCATAAAATATGCTCAACACCAAATTTTTTAAATTACATAAATAAAAAGGTAACCATAACTTACAAGATAAAACTTTGATATCAATTCCAGTTTGATCCACTGTAACACAGCCATATTGTGATATTGTTGTCTTGGCATCCGGAGGGACCTGAAACATAATTTTGATAGAAAGACGACTATAAATATATAAATAGAAGCATTATTAAATCAACTAATGTATTATACTTTTAGATACGCCTTAGAAAAAAAGGATGTGTAGTGTTAATACTAGGAAATTGTCAAACAAATCTCAGGATGAAATTTTACTAAAGCCAATGAAATGACCGTGTTTTTTTAATTAGAATTCCATTTAGCTAATAGTCGTGCTTCAGTCGCGTCAGTGGATACAAACGCGACATAATAAGCTACGTGGAAATACGCCTTTAAATGTTAATATAAAAATTATTAGTTTTAAAAGTGTAAGTACCCTTAAAACAATGCTTGAGTTAAACTGAAAAGTTGGTAAATTTTGTTTGCATGTCGCAGTGAAAGCTGGCTGTATGGTTGTCAATGCAGCGGACAAGCCTTCCTCATGCAATTTCTGCACCAGGTGACATAACACGTCTGTCTCGTTCGGCACCACAATTGCAAATGAGACATCATCGCATATGCTCACTACAAGCATCTGAAAAAAATACATAATGAAATTTTCTGTAAAAGAAATGTTTGCTAAATGAAATGTTGAAGAAATGAAATGTTTATATGTAATTTAAAATAGATATAAATATAATTCTAATAACTTTGAACATAATCTTAAACTTTACATAAACATAATTAAACATATACAAATATATTTCTTTATATATATATTTTAAATATGATTAAAAATATATGTAAACTTACCCTAACTTCATATTTAATATCTTCAGTATAACTAAATGAATTGTGCACTTTAACCATTGAACTTTTCCAGGCACCCTAAAATTATATGCATTGAAAACTCTCAAATACAAGAAGTAATTATAAAATTTATATTATAATAATAACCTTATACATACAAACATTAGTTAAGAGGGCTTTAGCCTCAGGATAATTATATTTCTCTGGTTCAAATTGAAAATCTCCATATTGATTTATCTGCAACATAACAGAAGAATAATGAGGAAGCTTATAGAACTTTATCTTTGGAGCAGGGGTAAAACCCATCTTCAAATAGGCTGGCACATTTCCAAATAACTTTTTCAAATATTATCTATTCATATTTTTGTCTTAGTTTTTTACATTACATTTACAAAGGAAAATAACCCAACTTTAATATTAGATGGAATAGCGCCATCTATTGTCAGCATCTTAAAACAAATATTTTCAAATTTTATTCAAACACAAAAATAAACTCACTTCCTTTGTCAGTTGGATAAAAAATATTTCTCACTAAAGCAATAGAATTTTACATAAGAAAAGACATTTTATATATGTATTACTCTAGTGTAAATCTATATATAAAAAATATATAACCCTTAAAACATTTATTTAGTATTTACCCAATTTTTCACAGCAGCAGAAGACTCTTGAGAACTTGTAAATATTTCCTTTTCGAGATTAAATTGACTTTTTGTGTCCAGTAAAAATTTCTTGCCATCTGACACAAACTGGAATAGTTTATTTTTTATAAGAAATTCTTTTTTATGTATGAGAACTTTGCTGACCTGCAGAATATAACCTATTTATTATTAATCACAGCAAGGACAAGAATTATAACATTAAATTTCTAGTCTGATAACTTAAGCATTTATTTAATTCTTTTTGTCTTTTTAAAAATGTTGAAAGATGATAATGTCATTAAACACTAACTCCTCACCTTATCAAATACCTTAAAACATTTCCCCGCATGTTTTCCATTTAAGTTTAAAAGGATATGAATGCCTAAAGGTGTTGATATCCAATTCATTGCTATTATTGTGTTTGCATACGATTTTGCGTATCTAAAATAGTGAAAAATCACGTGTATTTATAAAGTGAATTTTCAAACAACACGAAATATAGTAAGCAAAGTACATTTGATAATATTTTATTTGTTATACATACTTAGTTGCCTTATTTAAATAATTTTATGTCATAGCACTCCTAATACGCCGGTTTAATACTCTTGAATTATTTTTGTGCAATAAATTGTATTATAATTTAATTATTTTTGAAAATCAGTTGATTTTATTTATCTTGAGCAAATGACAATGACATTGACAATAACATATACAATGACATTTGAACTTTCCAGGTCAAGCAAAAATATAATAGAATTCTTTGAACATGCACATGTCACTGTTTTTTAATTATTTTTTAGATGATAAATTATGTAATATATATAAATTAATGAAAATATTGGTTGTTAAAACATACTTAACTTGTAAACATTACTAATTATATAGTGGATGGCAATGAATGATGAATCAAAACATATTTCGAGTTATCTCTTACTGGGAAGACTATTTTTGCTTTGGAAAAACCCTGGAATTTACGTTGGTTTAACGCCGACTAATTATAATATTGTTTATACATATGATCTCAATATTGCTTATAATAAATAGATTGATGCATGATGTAGTCCAGTTATTGACTGCAAACAATACCAGCCGCAACATGGATAAGTTTTTAATGCTGATTATTTGTAAGTTTTCTATAATTATATTAAGTTTCTAACCTCACGGTAGCTCGTACTTATGAGGGTATGTCTTTAAGCATGCTATGCTTGGAGGGCAGTTAATGAATTGTGATTCATGATAGTATCGAATCAGTTTCAGTTGTGTTGGCAAGGGACAATGCCTTTGCAGATCGGCTACCGTTTGGACTCAGACACAATGCTCGGAGGTCCATCGATAAATCCTCGATGAATTTACTAAAGGTATGTCCTATTTAGTGTAAATTTAAGGGATATTTTTTTAGACTCCGATCAAAATTGTGCCTTTTCTATGAATTTTTCATCAACTTGTGAAGTTTCAACTTTATCTCCTAGCATCCCTACCGGGGTCCAACGCGTTAATCCCGCGCGGACGGAACGCGGGCGACAGCTAGTTTCTTACTAATATTATAAATGCCAATGTTTGGATGGATGGAGGTTTCTTAGAAGGTATATCCTGAACGGCTTAACGGATTTCTATGAAATTGGGCACAAATGTAGAAAATAATCTAGAAGAACACATAGGCTATCAATTTTTTTTTAATTTAACGGATGGAGTCGCGAGAGGCAGTAACGTAACAAATGTCACTTTCAGGATGTGTACGAGGCAAGTAATGACAAGAATGTGGTAACGTCTCCTCTTGGTGTATTCGTGTTGCTGTCTTTGTTCTCTACGGTGACCAACGGCACCACGAGACAGGAAATCGAGAACGTTCTGGGATTTCACGATTACAGTCAGGTAATTGTTACATCCCCATTCGGCCATTTAACCTTTGGTGTGAATGTAAATTTTGCAGTCTCTATTTTCTCAAACAGAATGAAAGGGATAACATGCATACGAGTGTCACGGCAATTTTAAGGTTATAGCCGGTATCGTCAATTTTAAAAAGTAAAAAAAAAAGTCTTTGTTTCAGTTGACGGATTCATTTGAATATTTAAGCGAGAGTTATTCCTCAATGGACCCTAACTTATTGACGTTCGCCAACAAGGTCTGCATCTCCGATACTTACCAGCTGGAGAAGGAGTTCGTAAACCTCGCGACGCGGCAGTACCACAGCGAGGTGACGTCCATCGACTTACAGAATCCAGAAGCAGCCGCGGATGTTGTTAATCAATGGGTGCGTTAGACCGTCACAAAAAAACCAACGTCCAAGAACTCGAAGCTTTTATTTTTCAACTCCTCTTCGATGTTTCTTGTCAGATTTGGCCTAAAACCGTATGTTTTCAAATTACATTTCTTACTAAGATATTGGTCAATAAATTGACTTTATCGTTTAATTTTTTATGTTACTTAATGTTTACGAATGGTGATGTTTTAGGGGTATAAAGGTACGCGTCCATTTGCTCACGATGGACGCACCGCACGCACGGATTAAACGGATTTGCTATATCTTGATACGATGCGGGTGAACGCGGATAAACGCAGCGCTATGTAAAATAATACAAAACAAACTAAAATCAGTTGTGGGCCGTGCGTACGCGTGCTGTACGTCCGGCGCAGGCCAATGGACGCGTAAATTTAATGACCATAACTTTAAACTTTATATATAACTAGCAGTTATAGATATAAAGAATCTAATAATCAGTATAGCCTATGTACCGCAGTGATAAGTAGCTTATTCACAGTGAAAGAATTTTTCAAATCGGTTCAGTAGTTTCGGAGTCTATTCAATGCAAACAAACAAATCATTCCTTTATATTATATTAATATAAATTACAGGCTTTTAGTAAAAGTGGTGGAAACATAAAGGATCCAGTGTCAGCGGAGACGTTCACTCCTGGTATTGTGGCTTTGCTCATCAATATCATCTATTTCCAGGTAAATAAGAAAAATATGTCATCAAATACTAAATTCTCGAAAATTTTATACACAAATTAGTAGAAACAAAAGTAAAGAAAACATTGAAAAAGAATAACTGGCCATAAATAGTAAACTATGTTTGTAAATAAATATTTCTGTATAAAATTTACTTCTTTATAGGAATAGCGGTCGAAGACGACTCCATATATCTGTGTCAGTCTATGTATTCTTCCAGACTATGTTCTATATGTATGCCAAATTCTATCGAGATCCGTTCAGTCGTTCTGGAGATATCTTCAAACAAACATCCATCCATCTAAACATTCACATTTATATTATAATATTATTAAGATTTATGTAAGTAGATGTTAAATTTCTGAGACCAAATTCTTTGTATAAAACTGACGTCATCTATATCAACAGTATATTTTAAATTTTGGTCTGAAAAACCCATGGTAAATGATGATGAATTCTAGACTGTAAATTATAAAGTTTTTTTAGTTAAATTATATGTTACGACGCACAGGGAAAATGGAAGTATCCATTTAATGTAGACGAGACAACAGAGCAAACATTCCATATCAGCGCAACAGAAACCGTCATGAAACCCACCATGCAGCTCTCACAGAAATTGTTCCACGGTTACAATCGTTTCTTACAAGCTAAAGTAAGTAAATATTATAAAATTCGAACTTTATAGAGAAAAGCTCACGAAAAATGTGGCCTGTCGCCGCATAGTCCCGCTGACTATAGCACTGACATCTATAAATGAACAGGTTATAAGCCGTAATGTTTTGTGCTTTTTTTATATCATAACGTAAGTAGCAAACGAGCGAGCGGCTACCTGAAATCGCTGAAATAGCGAAGTGACCGTTGCCCATAGACATACACAATTGCATATGCGTTGCCTACCTTTAATCGACGGAGGAGAGGATGCACAAAAAGAAAATATTTTCCCTTCCCATGCATCCACTCATCCGCAAAGTTCACTTCCACTTACCATCTTATCCTTATAAGAAAAAAGGTGGGAAGGGAAAAATGACTAAATTAGGCCTCCGGGACGTACACTCATCAGACGAAACGCGGAAATTGCTTATGTGATATTCGATATTTCGCGCTAACGGTTGGTAGTGATGATAAAGATTCGAAATTATAACAAAGAATAATTTCATAGGTTAGAATGTGTTTTAGTGACTTTAATTTTAGAAAATGACGAGATGGTTGGTTAATTTTATAATGTTACTAATCTTATTGTAAATAATGTCAGAATTTGCCAACAAATGGTAAATTATCGGGTCTTATTATTTTGTTCTTTTCTAGATGATACATCTGCCGTACAATGAAACGGACTTTTCAATGATAATAGTAGTTCCAGATGAAATACACGGAGTTCCGAGGTTGTTAGATTTATTTAGAAATGAAGGTATACTAAGATTCACCTCTAAACTATACATGTCGTACAAAAAGGTGCATTTAGAGATGCCGAAGTTTGAAGTTACAACAAGGTTAAACGTGAAAGATATTTTGGTAAAGGTAATTGTTTTGTTTGCGATTTAATATTTTTTATATCAACCACACTATTGTAGTTGCTTCTGACAATTTATGTTTTATGATTTTGATATTTAGGAAGGTGTACATGGAATCTTTAGTAAGTACACTTCAGGAGTTGTTAAAGGCGAGGGGGTGAAGGTCTCGGATGCGTTCCAGCAGGCCTGTATCAAGGTGGACGAGGCGGGAACGGAGGCAGCTGCTTTTACTGGTAAGTAACAATCCTACAAAACAGAGATTTACAAAAGGCCCTCCGCTCTTCTCGGGCGATACGGATAAACCTCAAAGTTCTGTGGCATCATTGAATAATAATAAACGATTTTTCCAAAACAAAAAAAAAGCTCTTTTGACTAGTATCTGTAGCCAGTTGCTGTCAATCTTCAATGAACCCGGGAAGAGACGAAAATACAGGGAACATTTATCCTTTTTATAAGTTCCCTATACTGGAGAAACCCCTTCCCATTTTAAGCGTTCCGTTCTTCGTAAGGAACCCTTATAGGATCTGTTTGTCTGTGTATTAAGACCCTTTTTCACAGGAACGCGTGAAGGTATTAAGCTGGAATTTATTTCCTTATAGGTTAGAATTTGACTCTTACATTTTAATCTAGAGTATTTTCGTATTGTTACGAGTGGTTTTAATGTTGATTGGTTTTTATTATGTTGCAGAATTTGGAATTCAATTAAGATGTTACATGCCAGAGGAAGAGCCCGTGTTGTTCAAAGTTGACCGGCCATTTGTATACGCGATATTACATAAAGATATTGTTTTATTTACTGGTACATATTCGCATTGATTGGCGAGACATTCATCATCAACCTGCCCTTATCCCTATCGAGGGTCGGCACAATATGTACTACTCCTCCATACATCTCTATCAGCCGTCATATCCGAGTCTACCCCCTTCCTACACATATCCTCTTTCACACAGTCGTTCCATACTTTTTTCTTCCTCTACCTTTGTAGTCATCCACATCCATTGATTGGCGAGACTTTGTGATACTCAATTGTTTTGAAATGTCATTTTATTATTTTTAAGTAATATTAAATAAAAAATATAACTTTTAAGTATTAGTTAAATATAATTAGTAAGAATCCTTTGGCGCGAATGTCGCGCTGTCATTACAAAGTCAAATGTCAGAATGATTAGTGAGGGGACATAAACGTTGATATTTTAGTAACGCTAGTGTTGTGCCAGTACACCGGTATACAGAATTATATATTAATTGCTTTTTGGCTGTTCACATTATTATTATATAATATTTATGAGAACGTGTTTTTTTTTAGATATTCTGAAACATTTTTAATAATTTATTTTGTAACATTTTGGAAATCAACTTTAAGAGTTCGATGTCTGCTTTTGGGAAAACATTTGAAAATGTTATTTATTTTTTTTTAATAAATAAGAAATATCTCTATTGGTTTTATATTAGTTTTGATTTTGTACTGTAACATTTGAGATGTTAAGAAACAATTAATCTTACTGATATTATAAATGAGAATGTATGGATGGATGTTTCTTACAAAGTATCTCCAGAACGGCTACATAGATTTTGCTGAAATTTGTCATAGATGTAGAACATAGTCTGAAAGAACACATAGGCTACTTATTAAGTTTTCTTTTAATTCCGTGTGTGCGGAGTCACGGGCGACAGCTAGTAAGGTAAATGAAAGTCATGAATGTTTTCAATTATTTTTTATTGAAATTATTATCACCTTCTTATTCAGCTGTGAAGGGTGTCTACGTTATACGTACAACACAAATACAAAAGACAAGGCAGCGGGACTTCGTACACCGCCGCGAAACCGCGCCGGAACCGAAGCGAAACCGAAAGCTAATGACACAAAAGTAATGCGAAACCGGAATACTCATGTTACTGAAGGTTTTAACTGTCACACTTAAAAACATATGCCATCCCTTTAATTTCTGTTTAAAAACAAATACGAATAATGGGATTTTAAAGTAAGTAAAGATTCATGGATGAAACAAATCTATGCTTAATAAACTTCGCTTCGCTTTCGCTTCGGTTTCGCTCAAGTTTCGCATCGCTTCCGCGGGGTTACGAACTCGCCAGCGCACCTGTCGGTGGGACTTGCCTCAAGGCACTTGAGATTACATCAGCTTCGGATTTATTTGGCAAGTCGTAAGAAAACAAATTAACATCATACTTGTCATATAAAATTATTCTATTAAAAATATTCAAATTAAGAAGATACTCGAAAAGTATTTTTTTTAATACTTAATCTGTAATTATGAAAAAATCATGAATATTTAAAAAAAAAATAATTTTATAAAACAAGAGTGTGATTTAAAAAAATATATTCGTTACATAAAAATTTTTAAACAGATCGACTAAGGCTATTAAAATTATTGCTCGAAAAAATTTTCTTTTTTATTTTAATCAATAAAAACATTTTAAAATAAAGTTAATTTTGAACCGAATGTATGAAGGTATATTTGGGAAATTTAATCTAAAATATTGTACCATAACATTATATGCGAAGTTAGTTGATATTCTGTAAAATACTCAGTCTGAAAATAGCATAACATTGTTAATGCAATATAAAAGCAAAATGTCTTAAACCATTCCTCGTCATTCCTACAATTGTACGAAAAAAAAACATGTACAGGAAATTACAGTGTCTTATTTCTTTTTACAGTTTTTATTTTAGAATATCTTGTGTTGATTTGGTTATCCTTTAGAATTTTTTTTGGTATTCATTTTAAAAATGGCAATTTATCAAAATCCTTTACCTCTCAAGTACACGTAGTCAATTCGTTTTTTACTTTTCAACATCCAAATGTTATTTATTAATTATTTTCTATCTTTATAAATGCACTTCTTGTTAATAGAAATTAATCTATTCTACGTTAAAGTATTCGAAAAAGAAACAAAATTTCCCGCCAAAATTTAAACGTAAAAAGGACTATACGAATACTGCAATGCCACTTTGACTTTTTGTATAAATAAAAAAGATTTATTTTAACGTGTCTCTTAATTTTAGTATCAATTTAAAAAACTGTAACTTCGTTCTTTTGAAAAAAAAGTGACTGGAACACACGTTATATCCAATTAAAACACGATTTGTTTAACATATATGCTTGCCTGGTTTCTATTTTATTAGCTAGCTTCAAAAAGAACGAGGTTATCAATTCGTCTGTGTGTGTTTTTATGCGTGTCATAGACGTGTGCAATTCAGAGCGACAATGTAAACATTCGTATAAACAAAATGGCGGATAAATGTCAAAAATAGTAAAACAAAGAGGTTAGCTTAAAACGTAGAAAATATTGAATACTCGACAATACTGAAATAATGATGGCATGGCTTAACACTTTTGGAATGACTTATATTTAACTTCTTTGGTGTTGTGTCGTTTATTATATTACACGGACCTCTATAAAAACCTCTGGATAACCTTTTGCTTTTTTCTTAATTAAAACTGCATATTAAAGTTAATTGCCAGTTCTATAGTCCCACAAGAATCTTATAGTAGTTTTTTTTGATATTGACAGATCGTCGTTCATATTGCAAAATCGATTTATAATTTATGACGTAAGTTCTCATAGCGATTACTATTTAAATAAGTATTTATTTGCGTTTGGATGTATATCCAAACGTATCAAATTAACCTACATGTCATGACATACGTGATATTTTTAAGGAATTTTGAAATTATGCAAATGGCAACATTAATTAACTGCCGCTCCCTGATTGGTCAAAATATGACGCTGTCAACATGACATTGCTAGTTCATTATCCAACTGCTATAAGATCTTTGTGTAACTATATTATTAGAATCGTCACAGCCGCTATTGCGACCGTTAGCTTTTAATGGAGATAATCAAATAGGCACAAAAAACAACAACTTAAAGCCTATCCAGTGTATTATAGAGGTCAGTGTTTATGTTTTCTTGCTATTGGACGCTATATTGGCGCACTAAAAAAATCACTAAAACTATCCACTAAAGCATTTATACTACAATATTGATATTAACAACTTCATCCATACACACAATTTTTACATACACAATTGATACATACATTGTGTTAAAGTTAGTTATATTAACCTATAATTAATCTATTTACATTAAAACTAATTATATACATAACGGAATTATTGAGATCATTGTAATGTTATTTTACAAATCGCCGTCTCACATAACTTATATAAAATAATACTTTTTTAACGAGACCTGTTTGGTTTACGAAAAGCAACATGAATTTTTCACAATAAAATGTCTATTGCATTGCTCAGTGTTGCCAATTTGTGACTTACAGAATATTTGCATTAATTTCAGTCAATATGGTCATTTATAAATTTTCTAATAGACATAGTACCCGACGATTGAGGTTGGCACGTGAAACGTAAGAGTAATCTCGTTGTTGGCGTGCCAACTGAATTATACTATTGTAAATGGCCGTACGAATAATTTTCATGGCATGATTTCGTACTAAACTCGCCAGGCCGGTCGGTGGCAGTTGAAGTGTTAACTGTTATATACTGCAAGTATCTTATATACATGTATTGCACATCAACAAAACAATACGAGTGCTATATTGCACTATTACTCGAAGGTTGCGACTGCAGCGACATTTGTATATTTGTCTCTCTCATTTGTGTTGATAAAAAAGAGAACAATAAGTCAAGTGTCAGAGCAGTCGACACCCCACAGTCATGTCCGGTTTACATTATTCCAGTCCAGCGATTCCAGAATAGCAAGCAACATAGTGTATGCATAGTGCATTTCTCTGTCGGTGCATATGTAATCCAGCGCTGTACTGGAATAATGTAAATTGGCCATAAGATCGGTTTGTACTAACCGAATCTCTCTTTGACGAGGAACATAAGTTTCTTCTTGCCTTTGTATTTGAGTTTGATTTCTTGCAGCAGCGCCGCGAACTGATGAGGCCCGTCATGTGCCAGCGCGAACGTATCGCGTGCTTTACCTATAATATATATAATTGTTTTCTTAAGAAAAATATATCAAAACCAGATGTTATGACAAAAAATTAAGAATATTGGAGATCTGTCAGTAATCGCAGGTTTTTGGCACCATAACCTCTGTGTAAAATATACCGTTAATAATCGTTTGGTCTCGGAAACCCACGGTAAATTACGCTATTCTATACTGTGATCTGTTCTTGTTAAAAGTTCTTTCCATATTGGTTTAACAGCTATGGATTTAAACAAAAAAACATCCAAACAAACATAAATACTAATATTATAAATGCGAAAGTTTGAATGAATGGAAGTCAGGTGCAAAAGCTATAAATAATTG